TAGTTTACTGCCCAGCATTTCATAAGGATTGGGGCAGTTTTAAAATAATATTAAATAACTTAATAGTTCTAAAATAAGGACATTTTGGGGTCTTTAACTTGCTTAAAAACAATAGCTCATGACCCCTCATTTAATCTCAGATATTGGGAGGCTGGTTTGATCACACAGTAACTCTGTTGTTGTTAATTGCGAAGTCGTGTCTGACCCATCGCGACCCCATGGACAACATTCCTCCAGGTCTTCCTGTCCTCTACCATCTTCTGGAGTCCATTTAAGTTCACACCTACTGCTTCAGTGACTCCATCCAGCCATCTCATTCTCTGTCGTCCCCTTCTTCTATTGCCCTCAATCTTTCCTAGCATTAGGCCCTTCTCCAGTGAGTCCTTCCTTCTCATTAGGTGGCCAAACTATTTGAGTTTCAACTTCAGGATCTGGCCTTCTAAAGAGCAGTCCGGGTTGATCTCTTCTAGGACTGACCGGTTTGAATGCCTTGCAGTCCAAGGGACTCACAGGAGTCTTCTCCAGTACCATAGTTCAAAGGCCTCAATTCTTTGGCGCTCAGCCTTTCTTATGGTCCAACTTTCACAGCCATACATTGCAACTGGGAAAACCATGGCCTGGACTATACGCACTTTTGTTGGCAGGGTGATGTCTTTGCTTTTTAGTATGCTATCTAGATTTGCCATAGCTTTCCTCCCCAGGAGCAAGCGTCTTTTAATTTCTTGGTTGCAATCCCCATCTGAGGTGATCTTGATATTGCACCCTAATTCAAATGAGGTGACTAAGGGGTGAAAGAAGTATATATGCCTAGTCATTCATCTTTGGATGGATTCAGATGAAGTCAGGCATGTGGCACTGATGAGGCACAATCATGTACTAGAATTTACAGTTTAGTATGTTGATTCCCCATCATACTTCCAAATAATTCTATGCATTCCCATATCGATTTGGAATATGCTCTTCATGATTTATAATGTCTTGGTCCACATTGCAATCTCAGCCTAGATCCTTACCTAAGTAAGCAGATACAGATACATACAATCTGACTGAGGCTTATGCTGGAACAATTGAACATGCCAGTAACAAATGCATGTGCACTGTTTGTCCATTTCTACATTGGTTAATCATATCTACATTTCCAAACAAGGTTAGCCTGTTTGGCCATTCCTCAGAGAAACCTTCTCCTTTCATACATTCTCCACAATTTGCAACTGTAGCATGGTTTTTATTATATATTCCAGGATTTCAGCAAGCTTATGAGAGATGTTGTCCAAACCCATCCTTTTTGAGAAATAAGAAGTTGGAGGCCAATGGATCTGGAAAGAAAGGTTAATCTAATGTTTATGTCAGTTGCAATAATTGTTTTTTCTTACCGTTTCTCCTTTTCATCTAAGAGTGATGAATCAGCTTATGTGTTTGGCCATCACACAGCTTCGGTATTCTTAAATTGGCTGCCACATGAGCTGGTTTTTGGTTATATAAATAGTCAAGCCAGAACACTGTTTCAGGGAAAAGCAGTGATGACAGAAGAAAGCAATGCTCAATAGTTGGAAAGACACCCACCCTTCATCAGTTATGTAGCAGTGTGAAGAACCTCCCTCACTTTTCTATCTTTGGGCAAGCACTGCACCACGGAAAGCCCCAATGAAGAATTATTGAGATACTTGGACAGCACATACTAACGGAGATGTTTAATTTCACATTGTTTCCTCTGTTTAGTAATGGTGAAGACTTGCTTTTGTTGAGAATGTTTCCTGGCAATCACAGAAGAGGGTTTTGCCATTGCCTTCTTTCAGGATGTGTTTCCAACTTCCTAATCTAGTTGCAGCCTTAGGATTTCCTGATCTTCTTCCAACCAAGTCCTAATGGAATCCAATCCTGCTTGGCATTATTTATTTATTTAAAACATCTATTTAGCTGCCTTATTTTATATCAAACTCTGGGCAGTTCCGAACCAAGAACTAAAGGAATAGAATAGGATAGGATAGGATAGGATAGGATAGCTTTATTTGGCCGTGTGATTAGACACACAAGGAATTTGTCTCCGGTGCAGATGCTGTCAGTGTACATGCAAAGCAACAAAGTAATCATCATCATCATCACAACAATACTAATAAGAGGGGGCAGTAAAGAAGATAAGAAGGATAATAATAAGGCTGTAGACATACAATATGGGTAAATGTACATAGACATTAAGCAGTACTGTAAGAATTAGGTGTTCAGCAGGGTGATGGCTTGAGTGAAGAAACTGTCCCTGTGTCTAGTGGTGTCCCAAGGGGAAGAGTTGAAACAGTTTATGTCCAGGATGTGAGGGGTCTGTAGATATTTTTTCAGCTCTCCATATGACTCAATGCAACATACAGGTCTTCTGTGGAAGGCAGGTTGGCTGAAATTGTTTTTTCTGCAGTCCTAACTATCTGTTGGAGTCCATATCTGTCCTGTTTGGTTGCTGTACCAAACCAGACAGTTATAGAAGTACAAATGACAGGCTCAGTAATTCCTTCTGTAAAAACTGTATTAACAGCAGTCTGAACTTCCTTAGTAGACTCAAGAAGAACATTCTTTGTTGTGCCTTTTTAATGATGATTCTAATGTTAGGTGTCCATTTCAAATCCTGGAAGATTAAAAAAACCCCAAACTGGAAGGATTCTACTGCTGATGCTATGCTGTCAAATATAGTAAGAGGTGATAAAATAGAAGGGCTCCTCCTAAAATCCACTCTCATCTCTACATTAAGCATGTTCAGTTCCAGATGATTCCGGCTGCACTATAGGGCTTGTTGTTCAACCTCCTGTCTATATCAGACTCATCACCATCTCAAACTGTTGTATCATCTGCAAACTTCAGTACTTTAACAAAGGGATCCCTAGAAATGTAATCATGGAGAGAGTACCCAGCCCTTAGGGGCGCCTGTGCTAATTGCCCATCTATTAGATGTAATCTAAGTAAACTAAAGCATTACCAATAATAAAACATAAAAACCTTATTAAAACCAGAAACATTAAAAAGAAAAAACTGACATCAAGTTAAGCTGTTGTCATGCAGTCACCTTATCCTATACTAGCTGGGGGAGGGGAGCCAAATCTTCAGTGCTTTTCAGAAGGCTAAGAGGGTAGAGGCCTGCTGATCTTCAAGAAGAAAGGCTTTCTATAGGATAGGGCTGCTGGAATACTTCCTAGCTCCCGTAAGGTGGCAATGTGTAGGGGAAGATACTAGGATCATGCCCTTCCTATCTAATTTGGGAGGGATAGATGTTCTTTGAGAAAGATGATCCTATAGATAACTTGGCTCTGTGCCATATAGGGCTTTAAAAGTAATATACAGCACCTTGAATTATACCCAGAAGGTGACTAGAAGGCAGTGCAGATAGAAGTGTTACATAGGCAAACCTAGGGGCACCTGTCATTGCATACTTGGCTGCACTCTGGATCAGTTGTGGCTTCTGAGTAGACTTTAAGAGCAGCTGCAGGTAGAGTTCACTGCAGTAATCCAAACAGGAGGAGACCAAGCCATAAGCGATAGGAGCAAGACCTCCTGGTCCAGGAGGCACGCGAGACAAATGTGTGGAAAGCCTCTCCCTTAGAGATGGTTGCCACCAGCTCCTTGAATAGCAGCCTTAAGTGTAAGGTGGATCTCTAGATTATGTATCTATAAGGGCATCCCAAGGGGAGGAGTTGAAACAGTTTATGTCCAGAATGTGAGGGGTCTGTAGATATTTTCAGTCCTTCGTATGCAACACACACACACACACACACACACACAGAGAGAGAGAGAGAGAGAGAGAGAGAGAGAGAGAGAGAGAGAGAGAGAGAGAGAGTGTCCAGAGGACTATTGCCCTGCCCAGAATTAAAAATCAAACATCTAGGCTGGCGGGGTGGGGGAGGCAAAACCCCACAACACTCCTCATGCCAAGGTTGAGTCAAAGCAGGTTCCTGCCCATCCAGATTCTTACAGCTTCCAGGCACTTAGCCAGCCCTGCCACCCCATCACTTCTCTGGCTAGGGATGAAGAGATTTAATTGGGTATCATCGGTTGATACCAGACCCCATACTGGATGGTTTCATGTAGAAGTTAAAAGAGAGGCCTTGAGGTACCCCACATTGCAATGGCCTAGGGCTCAACCAGTCCTCTCCTACCAACCAGCTTCAGAGAAGTCCAGGAGGGCCCAAACGGTTGCTTTACCTCCATCTGGAACTCTCCAAAGGTCATTGACAAATGCGACCAGTGCTGCTTCAATGATGTGTCCTGGCTTGAACCTAGACTGACAAGGAACAGGATAATCTACTTATTGTTAAGTCAACTGATTTAAATATTAATAATTCAATTGCATAATGAGACAGAAATCTATATTGACTGATGTATTTTTACTTATTCACTTGACACATTGTCAACTGCATTTGGACCCGTGGCAGTTGACAAGACTGAAACATCTGCTATGGGGAAGAACATTTTTTGATCTGTATGTGAAAGTTTTGAGTGTTAACTTTTCCTAATAATTTCTCCCCTTAAAATCCTTTTCCTCTTGCACGCAAACTAAAATAAAAGGCACACAAAACTCTGAGGAGGGAATCAAACAAGGCCATCCGGCAACTCTTAAGAAAAGAATTGGTGGCCACCAAGATATTATATCCCAACCACGGCCACTTTATCCCTAGCCACGCCAGCAAATAGGTGAGAATTGGAGATGGGAACCTAAGCGCGTCCTAAACAACTTCTCGGGGGCTTCGTGGCTCGCGCCTTCCAACTCAGGAACAACATTTCGCTCGCTCGGCTGCCCACGTGACCCGCGCTTTGGCCAAAGTTTGCGCGCGCCCGCGCGTACGAGAGAAAGAGAGAGACCCGCTTCTGAGGAGAATCTTCTTGTTCTTCGAAGCGCAATTTGAGCTGCTTAATTCCCGCTGCGCCGGCTCCTTTTTCCGCCTCTTCCCCCCTCCCCGCCACTCGCGGCACCTCCTTTCCCCTCCGGTATGCGAGGAAAGCCGTCCTCTCTGGAAGAGCTAATGGTGCAGTTGACTTCAGGGCGGGGAGGAGGAGGAGGAGCACCCGCCGCGGATTAGAATGAAAACAGATCAGTCAATGGATTTGGGTTCCGGAGATCATCTGACTTGAATTAACCAAACCCCAACTGGGTTTCAAAAGTTGGGAGAGAGAGAGAGAGAGAGAGAGAGTTTCTTTTCTCCTCCCCTTTGGTTCGCCCCCCTTTTCTTTTTTGAACTTTCCTCAATTGGCGGTGGGCGAAAGCAGAGCTCTCTCTCTTTCTCTCTCCCGCCCTCTCTCTCTCTCTCTCCTTCTCTCCGTCTGCCTTAATTTCCCCCCGAGCTGCGTGTATTGATGTCCTACGCAGGGATGATGGATGGCAGAAAGGCAGAAAGACGCCAGCAGCAGGGGCGCTCGACACTTTTTTAAACTCTCCCAGCCCCTTTCCTTTCCCCCGGCGATCATCAATGAGCCTCGGAGCGGGAGAAAGAAGGGGAAAGAATCCGCGCGGGTGTCGGGAAGGGCTGGCGGCGGCAGCGAAGACTTCGCCTTTCTTTAAAAGGGGGGCAGAGGGACGGAACACGAAAAGGAAGCCCGGTCAGCGAACCCCACTCGCTCTTCCGCGCCCCTGAAGTGGACGATGGGGAGCTGGGCTCGCCGCCCTGCTCTGGAGCCGGAGCAGCCGCTGGACGCATGAAAACTTCTCTTAGGGTAAAGTCGCGGCTCCCGCAGAGTCGCTCGTGACTTTTTTTTCCTCCCCCCCCCATCGCGGCGTCTCGGAATTCTCCTGAGGAGGGGCTGGAGGGGACGCGGATTCACGAGCGACGATTCCTCCGCTCTCTCCAGAGAGATCGTAGACGAGGGAGAAACGCGCATTTTTCCCGCCTCCTCCAACTCTCGGGTGGGTGTGACGGGCCATGGGGGGAAAAAAAGTTGGGGCAGGTCGCCCCCGCGCAAGGAGAGGTTGTAGCGCGGTTGCCAGGACGGATAGAGGAGAGAAAGAAGCGGATCCAAAACTTAGCGGCCGCGCCTGGCTGCCCCGCTGCAGCCGAAGACAGCGAGCTAGCCCGGGGCGAATGGGACAGAAGGGGGGGGGGAGAATTGGCTAGGCCCGATCCGGCCGTAATGTGAAGCCGAGCGAAGGGAGAAACCGACCTCCAGTCCCGCCGGCCTCCTGCAGCGGGGCGGGGGAGTGGGGAGAGGTCTTCTCGGGCAGGTCGCCTTGAAACCGCCTCTCTCAGGTAGAGAGTCTGCTGGTCCGTTCGGCGACCAGCGGCTCGATTCGGCTCCGTCTGCTCCCCTCTCCACGTTGGCCCAATTTTGCCAGGATTCAAAGCGGGACGCTGCGTTGTTGTTGGTGGGGGTCGTCCCCGTACCTGGCCTGCAAAGCGTCTTCGGCAGCGCCCGGGGACTATTTTGCGGACACTTTGGACCGAGTTTGTAGGATGCGTGCGTGCCTGTGTGATTGTGCTACTGCTGGGATGCTTCCCTGTGCGTGCGGCGATCTAAGGCGGCAACCTCGTGGCGCTGTGATGTAACAGCCTGACAGTCGCTCCTTTGCAACGCAAGGTTTATTTTTGTATCTTTCCAGAGACAGAGAACGTGGCCGAAGTTCCTGTAGGGTTATTTCCTGGGTGTGGATTGGGAAGTGGGGGAGGGGAGAGGGAGAGAGAGAGAGACACCTCTGGATGCGAGTTAAGTCCGCGCACTCGCCTCCCAGCCACGATGTTTTCTCCCCCCCCCCTTCCCGCCACCCCATCCTTCCCCGGTCCCCGAAGCGATCTTTCATCAAGTACATTTGCGAAGGAATTTCAACCATCCACCTCTGCAACTTGATCCGCGTGTGTCGGGGAGCGGCGTGGAGAGAACTGGGCGCCAATCCTATTAAGGGGTTTGAAGAGCAAAGGGGATTCTCTCTCTCCCACCTCAGGGCTGAAAACAATTGCAAAGAAAAGGAACTCAACTCGTCAGGGATGCCTTATTAACTCCAGTATCTTCGCCTCGCCGCAATACTCACCCGCACTCGACGGCCGTCATTTGCTGGGGTTTCCCTGTTAGAAATGTCCAGTCCCGGCGGAACTGCACAGTTTTTTTGCCTCCAAGAGTTGCTCGAGGCGCTGTTAGGCTTGGGCTTTATTTAACTAGAAGTCGGCCCGAGATTGCAAACTCTTAGCGGTCAGCACTCCGTAAAAGAATATGGTGAATAATAGCCAGGGGCCTCTTGTACCTTTCCTTCTCTAGGGAGTTGAGCTTTGGAGGCAGCTGTGGGGTTGCAAAGTTGTGTGAGGAGATGCTGAGAAGTTTTGGATTGGTTTAAGCCAGGAACAGCTGGCAACATAAGAGTTTAGTTTCTCATTAAATTTATCTCATCTACACACATGTGGCAGGTAACAAAAACAACTGTTTTAACACCATTGGCCACCTTTCATCCTAAAGGCCACAAAACTAATAATGTGTTAGACAAAGTTACATAACTTTGAGAGAAAATAAAAACAATCAGCGTTTAAGAAGTGGGAAGATCTTTCTGCACTTGAATGGGAAGTCTAACTTTCTCTATGCATATGCAATATATGCCAACAATATTCTGATAAACTACACTACCCTTCATCATTGATTTTATGTAAGTTTACTCATCAGTTAAGTTCAGTATTTTTTTTTTCTCCAAATGAGCATTTCTTTCTCACAGCAACATGGTAACAATTCAGAATGTGTTTAACATAATTAAACCAACTGAGTTCAGGAAAACTTTGGGAGTACATTTATTAAAGGATAGAGAAATGAATCCCCAGCATAGATTGAAATCTATGATGTTTTGTCTTTTGAATTCTTAATACACTTAATTTAATATTGGTTTCTTTTATTTTATACAGTTTCTAAAATACTGTGTCTGGGTACACTTTTGCGGCTCTGGGTTTTGAAGTTCATGTTCTATTGACTGCTGCCATTAAAAAGAGCAGTTGTAAAAATCACTCTTATTTTTTTTTATTTTTTTTTTTTTGTGGAATTGGGTCTCAGGGGATGGCCAAGAATCCGAAAGTAAACGTTTCTCTTGCCTGCTGCATAAAATAGCATTTAAACAAATATTGTATTGGCATGTCCCGTGGACCTTGTGCCAAAAGGATAGAGTAAATAAACGATAAAATCCAAAATATACAGAAAGGGGAAAAACTGATTTCTTGCAAAGCTGCATAGATCTCATCTGTTTGTTCTAGCTCCCTTAGATTTAAGTGAATCCCTTTTTTTGTGATTTTCTGTGTACCAGGCTGAAGGTAAAGCAGATTTACTTACATTTGTGTGTGTGTGTGTGTGTGTGTGTGTGTCTAAAGCAAAGCAAAGCAAATTATTTTCCTTCACTTGGAAATTTTTTTTTACAGATATCAGAGGTTTTCCTAGCTGCAAATGTTTATTGCACATAGTTCACACACCAATGTCTACTCTGTGTTTGTGTCTGTTCGTGTGGTTTTTGAAGTTTTTCTGAAGTAATTTCCATTTTACCCTGTGTGCTAGGAAGTGGTGACACCTGCCTTTGACTTGCCCTCAAAATAAATGACAGATACAGTATGATATCTCATCCAGTATGGTCTTTTCTCTCATGCTGTCTCTCAAGCAAATTACTCTCAGTGGAACTTTTTTTGGGACAATTAAATGTAAGGCAACTTTCCAAAAATCCTGCCAAGAAAATTGCAGAAACTATATATGTATAATCTTTCTAAAGGCTTTAGATAGGCTGCCCATAATTTTCAGAAGACAGAACTGCTTCTTCTATCTGATAATCACTGTTTTCTCTGTAGTGGCTTTTTTCATTCTGTGGTGTGCTTTTCCAAAAGAGATAATCTTGAAAATGCGGGTGTGGTGAAAGAGTAATTTGATCCTGAATCCTCTTGTAGACTTAAATGTATCACTTTGAAATGCTCAGAAATGTTAACTGCTCTGCAAAAGAAAATATATCTTCATGAATTTGGGTTCTAGCTTCCTTTTAATATCCTTGTTTCTTAACATCAAGGAGGAGATATAGGTCGAGGTATCTCAGTATGTATAAGTGATATTTGCAATGCAGTTATGTTCATTTAAGAAATAAGGTGAAATATTCAGGCCATTTCCTTTTGTTTTTCTCTTTTCTCCTGTTAGGTTTTTTTTTTAGGCTAGGATGATTAATTGATGCATGGTACATCTAACATTGCTAGTCTATATGCAGTTTTTTTTCTGAAGTATCATCTGTTGATCTTAACCTTTTATTGCATTCTGAGCAAATGTGAATGAGTTGGCAACTTTATCACTCATTCATATTTACTTTCCCACAAAACTTTCCCATTGACTACATGGACAATCCTGATTACATTGCATCTAAAGAAATATATCTATGCAAAATGTAATGCACTTTTATTTTTAAATTACTTGATTGGGGTATAACTTGCTGTAGTAGCTCCTCTAGAGTTATAGGACAAGGGAAGAGTCTGGAAGTGATGATTAATTACAAAACTTCCTTAATTAGATTAACATATCAAAGAGTTTTCAGTTTTATTTAGCGCATACCCTGGCTTTTTTTTAAAAAAAAATAGCCTTGAACATATAGTACTTTTTAAGGGGCAACTCCTTCCACCATAACAATCTCTTCTAGACACCTCCGAAGCATTTATAGAAGCTGAATAAATGTTGTTAAGCTTGCTCGCTCAACTTCTGGTGGCCTACTGTAAGCCAGTTGTTTGCACTGTGTCCTGAAAGATACACAAATCCATCAAGCTTTTTGTATTCTCAGAAGTGCCTTGTTCACAACAGAGTTTCCAGGACAGATTAGCAAAGAAAGCAAATGCAGCAAGCAGCTTTCCAAAACTCTCTCTGTGTATTTGTGGAGCAAATACCCAACTATTGCTTTCCTTAGAGTGAGCACACTTCACCATCTTACCAAAAGATTTTTGAAGTAGTAGGCTAAAAAAAGAGCTTATTTTGAATGCCCCTTCTTTTAAAATGTGGTTATTATCTAATTATGGCTTCAAGTCTTCTCTGACACTTACTGGGCTGTGAATGTTTGCTTGTAAGCTGCGGTTCGGCTATCTGAATTTTTGTGAATGAAGTAGATTGCTTTGTGCTAATTTGCTTGAAAAGTGTTTGACATATACTCAACATTAGGGTGATTACGGAAGAGAATTGGACTTTATTTGTTAACATTTTGAAGGTAAACCATGTAGGGTCAATTACTTTTTTAACATACAGTGACAAAATGACAACAATATTCTTATTTAAAAATGGCTAAATTTGATCTTAGTTGTATCTACTTACTGGATACTTACTATGTGATACTTGAACTTAAAAATAAAATGCAGAAGGAGATAAGTAATATTAAATATTCCAAAAGTGAGTCACTCTAAGGATAGGGTAGCAACAGCAATGACTCTCAATAGTGTACTTGAAGATTATATATTTTATCCAGGAGTTTTATGGAGGCATAACTGAGTAAAACCATTTATTTAAACCCTGAAAAATGTTTATGAAATTTAGATTTTGGTCACCTTGGCTATCCAGAGTAACAGGGCCAGAACTCACAGGAGATTTATAGAAACACAGAATAGAGTTTCCCTTTTAAAAAATTACTAAGTATTGTTGTTCTTGTTGTTATTATTATTACTATTATTTAGTTCCATTCAGTGTTGAGTGAAATAAGACAGGCTAAAATTCTAGATGCTGATTTTCTGTTTCTTCCTTTTCAGTCTTCA